TTTATTTTAGTCTCATTCTTCGTCATTTTTTTCTTGTCATTCCGTTCACTCACTTAAAGATGTTATTAAAATATGTACTTCTGATTAGTATTTGAATTAGTCGTTGTTGCGACCCAGTAAATTTTGTGAGTTAATTTGCATGCTTGGTTGGAACCATGATCCAATTTAAAACTGTCTCATTCTCTCTCATTCTCTAATTACTTACCGTAATCAAGAATAATTAGGACCTACTTGGTCTTTTCATGTTTGAATGTAGTAATGATCCGTGAACTATATTAAAACTTAATCATTGTGATGCTCGAACTATAGAATCTGAGTTGCACCATTAGTTATTTTTGTCACCAATCACTTCAGCATGTGTCTATAAAATTAGTGAATAATTAATACTTACTTCCAACTAATTGGGTTTTGCGGATCAAATTTAGGCTAGCGAAATTCAGTTTCCACTTAATTATATTAGAGGACATGATGAATTCAAATCTTATAGAGGATAGTAGTTGAATAAAAGAGAAACGAGTGGATAGCTAGTGGTAGAACAAGGACATGGAAGTTGCAAGGAATGAATCTAACGAGGAGATCTTCATGAACTCCCTTATTTGGTTTATTTGAGAAGACACTATACTTGTATATAGTGACAGGTTCGTTATTCGAGATTTGCACATCTAAAATATATGCAATCTGCCTGCCTGCCTGGGAGTCAGTCCACGTAGGTCTATAGTCTTATTTCGGTACAAAGGAATTAGGTCTATAATTTGAAAAAAAACTTATACCTAATAATGCATCATTAGACCAAAACATTACATGACGGTAAACTCGTTAGATGTAAGTTTCTCTAATAGTCTTTTTATAGAATTATAGAATATAATTGAATGAGAGTAGTGGTGCAAATTAATACATGTGTCAGATGCTTAAGCAGAAAATGGTAACAAGAAGGAGAAGTTCTGTTATGATTATCGTCAATAACGTCACGTAATGTTATTAATCTAATTTGTGTCATAACACAGATACTTATATTTATTTAATTATATTTATCTAAATGTATGAAAAATCAATCTTATCGTTAATTCATACTATTACACATGCATTTGTACGTGGATAGCTAACTTGCTCTCCAATCCACGCTGATGATATCCTCTATCTTATCAACCCCATTGCCAGTTTTGGTAAACATTATTGTTTAATTATTAACGAAGTTTAATTAACAATGGTGGCAGCCCAGGGACTGGTTCTCTCTCATATATTCAGCCGTTGATCAGAGATCATGCGTGCAAGTCAAATATAGGTGCACATAATAATTATTATTTGATTTATGGGTGCATACCTTTGACAAATTCTAATTAGCCTCTCACCATCACCATCAATAATTGATAAGCTTACCTCTCTACGTAATGGAGAACTTGTCACAATAGCGAAGAACATTTTTTTGGTTAAGAAGACCGTCTTTGGGAATATATTTCAAATAAGTATTTTTTATTTTCTTATTTTAAGAATCCAATTCTATGGCAATTTAATATTACGATCTTGTAGTATTTCTTTTTATTTGTAATGAATAGGTTTTAGGTTCGATTCTCACCAAATGCGGGTTTGAACCATATTATTGCTAGCTTATTATGAGGCTAAACCCACCCCCTCCCCTTAGTATAGATAATATCGTTTATTAAAAAAAAAATTCACTTCTATGAGAGAGTGTTGGTTAACAGACTCTTAAACAAATGCGTGTGAAATTCACGTATATTAAGCAATTAACAGTCACACACGTGTGAAATTCACGTATATTAAACGATTAATAGTCACACCAATACCTACACAGATCATCCATTTTAACATTTATCTAAACATTTAGGTGAGCAAGGAATCTTTATAGAAGCGTCCATTTATGAGTCGTGTGAAGAATGATGGCATTAGAAGTAGACACTAGTTTATCAAGTCAGTCATTTGTTTGGTTCTTGTTTGGAAAACCTGGAAACTTGAAAAACGGTTTTAACTAATCAAACCCCGGTCTTTCCAGGTTGCTTCCCGGTTATTGTGGAACCAACCCTAGCTCTTTTGTCTTCCAAAAGGACCACAACTCCACGTTCATCTAAAATTAAAAATATTGATCAGTTGCATTTTGGAGCAAGCCAGTTACTAGTTCAAATTGCTTATCAGACGACCGCTCATATAAAATATCACTCAATCAACAATTCAAATTCACCGTTTGACGACTACTAAATCAGATTATTCGACGGAAAGCGAAATCTCTATATATTTGGATATAAACGAAGGGATTTAAATTTGACTAACTAGAAGAATGTAGCATCGCAATGCATGCATCTTGACCATATGATTCATTGAATATGATATATTTAAAAATAAAAATTAAAAATTAAAAATACGATGCAAAAATTGCTTGATTAATTATATTGAAAAATCAGATCCAGAGTCGGTCAAAGAGTAAGGTTCCAAGCAAATAAGCAAATCCACCTCCCTCAACTGGAAACCGAACGGCCCCACTCTATAAAACCCTTCCAGAACCAAAAACCACAACCATAAAATCAACTTCCTCTCTCTCTCTCTCTCTCTCTCTCTCTCTCTCTCTCTCTCTCTCCATTTTTAAGAGTTCGACGCCATTCCCGGCTCAATGATGCTCTCCGAGTACCTGAAGAGTGGTAATACTACATTCACACCAAGGAAAGGAAAGTCATGCCTCTTTTCCTTCTCGCATGTCAAAAACCATTCTTCTTCTTACACACCTTCAAGCACTTCCACCAGTCCAAAACCTTCCCCGACCTTGTCTCTTTCGATGATGGAAGAAAACATCGAAACAGCCGAATCCATCATCACGAAATGGGATCCAAACTCCTCCTCATACACCAAACTCACTTCCATCTTCCAGAGCAGCAGAAATGAGGCCAAACAGCTTCTCAAATCCGTAAAGGACTTGCGTAGTGCTATGCATGTTTTGGTTCATGAAAGCTCTCCATCCAGCAAGCTCGTGCTTGCTCAAAACCTAATGCAAACAGCTATGAAAAGGCTTGAAAGGGAGTTTTATGAGATATTGTCTGCAAACCGGCGTCACCTTGACCCCGAATCAGTTTCAAGTCGAACCTCAAGCAGATCATGGACATTTAATGGTGAAGACGAGGGTGGATCAGAAGAAGAGTTGGAAATTGTTGGTGAGTCGATCACTGAGGTGGAGAGGGTCTCGGCTCTCGCCATGGTGGATCTGAAGTCCATAGCTGATTGTATGATCAGTTCCGGCTATGGTCATGAGTGTGTGAAGATATACAAAGTTATCCGAAAGTCAATAGTAGATGAGGGATTGTATCGCCTTGGAATCCAACAGCTCAAGTCTTCTCAAATCCATAAAATGGATTCGGAAGGACTAGAAAACATAATCATGAATTGGATGGATGCTGCAAAGATTGCTGTGAAAGCACTATTTCATGGAGAAAAAGTTCTCTGTGATCATGTGTTTTCAGCATCTGAGACAATCGCAGACTCATGCTTCTATGAGATAACAAAAGAAGGAGCAACCACCCTATTCAGATTTCCGGAACTCATAGTGAAGAACAATAAGTGCCGGGAAAGAATTTTCTGGCAACTGGAACTCTACGAAGTATTCTCCGATCTTTGGCCAGAAATTGAATCATTATTTACCTCTGCATCAACCCAAGCAATAAAACTACAAGCTCTCGCATCATGGCTCAAACTTTCAGATTCTGTCCAGTCTAGTCTTTCTGTCTTTGAATCAACCATTCAAAAGGATTCATCAAAATTTCTAGCCTCTGGCGGCAGGATTCACCCGTTGACACAATCAGTGATGAATTTGGTATCTTCATTAGCAGACCACCATGGAGCTCTCTCTGATATCCTTGCTGACTATCCACCACCGAAGAATCAAGTATCTCACTTCAAGAGCCCAATGGCAGATGACGGTTCAACACCAGCAGTGACAGTCCACCTAGCTTGGCTCATTCTAGTCCTTATGTGCAAGCTCGACATGAAAGCTGAGATTTATAAAGATGCGTCTCTGTCATATCTCTTCCTTGCCAACAATCTTCAATTCATTGTTGAGAAGGTGCAGCAAACACCGAACCTGAAACTCCTCCTAGGTGAAGATTGGGTCGCTGAACACATGAAGAAGGTTAAACTATACGCTTCAAACTACGAATCCACAGCCTGGACAAAGGTGTTATCATCATTACCAGAGAAGTCATCAGAAACATCTCCGGAAATGGCAAAGGAATGCTTTAAAAGGTTCAACGCAGCGTTTGAAGAGGCATACAGGAAACAGACATCATGGATTGTAGAGGACAGGAAATTGAGGGATGACATAAAGGTGTCAATTGAGCAGAAACTAGTACCAAGATATCAAGAATTTTATGACACAAACTTGGTCATGCAGAGTGGGGAGAAAAATTTGGAGTTGTTGGTAAGATATTCACCAGATGACTTGGGGAATTACTTGTCGGATTTGTTCCACGGGGCATCCACCTCAGTTAGTTCCACAACTTCATCGTCACTGTTGGCTTCACAAAGATGCCTCAGCATCTAGATGCAATTCTATTACAAAACAAACTGTACCATTTTGATAACTAATACAGGTAACACAGAGAGAATAAGAACTGCCAGTTTTCTCAAGCTTCAAGTTATTTCTATAACCAAGATCTAGAGAACCATCTATTCAATTATGAAAGAAATGAATGACATCATTTGCATTTATATCCCTTCAGATTCATTATTTCCCACCACGCCCCTTCAGATCAATTTGGAAGTTTACGAAAATTTTAAATTCAAACCAAATGATCATATGTAAAGATGTATATGTTTGAATGCTTAACATTTCCAAATAGAAAATATAAAAATAAAACTGCTTAGGTCAAGTTAACACAAAGTCAAACAATTGCAAAATATAAAGGTGTTAAATCCCATATCAAATAAACTCAACTGCGTCTGAGCCGGCCGGCCAATCTAGTTGAATTCTTTTCTTTTCTCTATGCACATTTAACGTGAAATAATTATTCTGGAAATACATCTTTATATGAGAACAAGCATTGTAAACATGGCATGTGTCTTATGGAGTGCTTATCATAATTGATAGGTTCTGTCTGTAAACTCGTAAGTATTACAAGGGCAGATAGCAAATCTGATGGAGTTTATTAAAAAAAATAAAATTAAAGACTATTCTGTGATAGAACCTATAAAATCCTGTTACAGACGTAGTGATAAAATAAAATTATACAGTTACCGCCTGCTCCGCTGGCCGATGAATGGATTGCCAGCCAGTAAGAATTTGGAGAATGGCTTTAAGAGAATCTGAGGCTGCTTCCATAGTCCAATGTGGATAAAATTCACTTGGATGGAACAGGCATTCTTCACTGAACCCTGTCAATGTGCATGGTTGAGCTCCATTGAGGAATAGATCGCCCTCGGATATTATGAAGCCGGACTTTGCCATTTCTCTGTCTGCTGCCTATGGGAAGATTATATACATTTGAGAAAGAATGTCTTCACAGAAATGGGATGTAAATTGTACAAATAGCTTATATTCCTTTCAGTGTAAATAAATACCAGATGATAGGAAATTAAAAAGTTTCATACGACTTTTTTGTCACTGTACCCTGCCTCAGAATATAATGCTACTATGGATATAATGAAACTACGTTCTTCACGTTCACATCAAACTATCAAAAAATGAGCGAGAGATGGTCATGTACCTTTTCTGTATAATATTCGAAAGTCTTTTTCTTATTTCCTGCTTCATAAATGTTGCATTGAGAGTATATCTGATATAAACAACTTAATTAGATAATGCAGTTCAGAAAGATTCTAAAGATCAAGGAGATAGTTATAAGAAGTTTCATTAACCTGGGATTCTACGCTGGCGCAAACAGCATATATACCCCAGTTTCGAGTGTAATTGTTGTAAAGATGAACTTTCCCAAATCTAAGACGAGGTTGTCTTTGCCTTGTTCCATCAAAAAAACAATGATGGATTGTCACCCGAATGCATCTGTCACCAACATGCGAGGGGTCTGCTCCAATAAGCATCGTCTTGTCATGTTGTGCAAAGTAACATCTGGTTCCAAGGGAAGGAGAAACCATCAGATAGGTTATATCAGTATCCAAATTTATATCGTAATCTAGGGCATAAGTTTAAACCCACCTAGAGATAGTTATGTCTGTACTTTGTCTGGTGATATCTATGAGTCCATCATCATAATCACGAAGGCTGCATCGGTCTATCCATATGTGCCTAGAGTTCGGTTTAATCTGAATGCCATCAACATCATGTCCTCTACCACCTTCAAACTCGAGGTTGCATACAATTATATGCTCACATTCCTTCAGCCTAAGTCCCTTTCCTGTGAGCTTTATCCTCTGACCTCGTCCATCAATTGTCTTATAAGACGACACGCTCAAGTAAGATGAAAGGTGAATGGTGCCAGAAACCTCAAAGACAATCCAGAGTGGTTCTTGTTTTCGGCATCCTTCACGAAGTGAGCCTGGACCATCATCTAAACACCAAAACATACATTCCACTCATCGATGCAATATGGAAAACATTCCATGCAGTAAGGAAACAAAGCAAAAATGTCAAAAACTATCTTCTTTTTTTTCCACCATCAACCCGTTTCCTCAAAAATGTCATATTGATATTGTGCAATTCCACAGAGCCAATTCCAAATCTTATTTTTTCCATTAATCAAAATTCAAAATCCAAAATAAGCTGTTTATAAATGTACATTCCACTTTTTAGTTTTTGATAAGTATTCTGAAAGATTGAGGTATTTTTGAGACTGCTTTTTTAAGGGCTATAAGCATGTTCCAACAACCAAAAACACTTCCAACTGCATTTTACAAAAAATTGAAGTGTTTCTAGGTCATAGAAGCCCTTATGGAGAAGCGACTGTTAGATGTTTCTTCAAGAAGCACTTCCATAAAAATTCAAAATTTTAAAATAAAAATATACTTCTACAAAAGCGCTTATGAACATAATTGCTTCCTACATAAGCCGCCCCAAACGAAACCTAATAGTAAGAAGCAAAAAAACAGATGCATTACTTAGAAGTATGGAATCCAGCCTATCTGGTCCCTCATCCAGCCATATGCTACTTAATTACAGATCCTTGCACCAAATGGGCATCTAACTTGCAAAAATGGTTTCATTTTGTTCCATCTTCTTGAAGCAATAACAGCTAAAAAGTGCTAGTATTGCTCTCAAAATTTCAGTCCTTTCTTTTTCTTTTTTTTTTTTTTTTTTTTTTTTTTTTCCTTTTTATTACAAGAAAAATGAATATCCAAAACTAGTCCAATAGGCAAGGGCGATTCGAAATTCGTGCTCGGTGGGTGGACTGTCCTAACCAATTAGCCTAACTCATGTCTGCGGTCTGCAAATTCTCTCATTTCTTCTGACCCCGTATTCAATTTTGTTCAGAAACAAAACCCCACCATGATTCCCAAGCATCTAATTGACATAAATGATTAAAACAAAAATTGGGCAAAAATTAAAAACTGATAAGAATCATAAAAGAACCTGCCAACGTGGTGACGAAATAGACCGGCCCGTTGAGGCCTCCGATGGCGAACCGGCCAAAGCCCTCGGCCCGACCGGCCATTGATCTCAGGCTGAAATCCACGTCGGGGTACGGTAGCGAAGCCATATCCGTCTTTTCCTGTACCTGAAATTGGAATCTCTCGGCCGCCTGTATGTGACGACAAGTCGTTAAACAATGCCTCCAAACTTTGTTGCTTGTACCATTTTGCCCTTCAAACTTGAAATTTGAATTTTAGCCTCTAAAATTTTAATTTGTGCCAATATGACCCCATCTATATATCATGTCATAAGTTTCGTTTAATTCCATCACGTGCAATCAATGCCCACGAGCATTTTTTTTCTTTTTTCTTTTGAAAAAAATAGGGTAAAGTACAAAAAACTACCTTAACTATTGGGTTCACGACAGTTTCATACCTTATCTTTTAAAATTGACAATGTCATACCGCATCTTACGAATTTGTGACAATGTCATACCTCCGTCAATTTTTCTGTTAGTTTTTCTGTTAAATGCTAACGTGGCAAGAGACAGGGACCACTTTCTATTAAAAAATTAATAAAATATTATTAAAAACTAAAAAAAATATTTAATATTTTTTAAATATTAAAATAATAAATAAAAGTAAAATTAAAAAAAAGAGGTAAAGTACAAAAAACTACCTCAACTATTGAGGTCACGACAGTTTCATACCTCATCTTTTAAAATTGACAATGTCATACTGCATCTTACGAATTTGTGAAAATATCATACCTCCGTCATTTTTTCTGTTAAGTGCTAACGTGGCTTGATTCGGGATCTACTTTCTATTAAAAAATTATTAAAAACTAAAAAACAATTATTTAATATTTTTTAAATATTAAAATAATAATAAAAAGCAGAAGAAAAAAAACCCTCATTTCGTTCCTCCCCTCACCCCTCCTCCCTCCTCTCTCCTCTCCCCATCTTCATCTTCCTCCCCCACCTGCAAATCCCAACAAAAAAAAAAAAAAAAAAAAAAAATCCAATTTGTCTTCCCCCCCCCCCCCCACACCCACACTCTTCTCCCTCTTGCAACCCAGAAAAAAAAAAAAAACAAAAACAAAAAACAAAAACCCAGATCCCGTCGGCGAGAAGATGGGTGAGTAGAGAAGGTGGAGGATGGGTGCAGAAGAGGATGTGGAGAATGAATGAAAGTGGTGGATTTGGGATTTGATGGGTTTTCAAAAAAAACTTTTTTTTTTTCCTTCTTTTTTTCCTCTTCTTCTTCTTCTTCTTCCGCAGGGGAGTTGATGGTTTAAAAAAAAAAAAAAAAAAAAAATATTTCCTTCCTCCTCCTTCTCCTTCTCCTTCTTCCGCAGGGGGGTGTTGATGGGTTTTCAAATTTTTATTTTATTTTTTCTTCCTCTTCTTCTTCTTCCTCCTCCTTTTCTTCCTCTTCTTCTTCTTCCTCCTTCTCCTTCTCCCTTCTTCTTCTTCCGCGCCGACAGGGGGGAATTTTTTCTTTTTTTCCTTCCTCCTTTTTTTCCTCTTCTTCTTCTTCCTCCTCCTCCTCCTCCTCCTCCTTCTCCTTCTTGTTCTTCCGCAGGGGGTTGTTGGGTTTTCAAATTTTTTTTATTTTTTTAATGTTTTTGGGTTTGCAGGTGGGGGGGGGGAAGAAAATGAAGATGGGGAGAAAAGAGAGGGGGGAGGGGGAGGGGAGGGACGAACTGATGGTTTTTTTTTTTTCTCTACTTTTTATTATTATTTTAATATTTAAAAATATTAAATAATTATTTTTTAGTTTTTAATAATTTTTTAATAGAAAGTATGTCTCGAATCAAGCCACGTGAGCACTTAACAGAAAAACTAACAGAAAAATTGACGGAGGTATGACATTGTCACAAATTCGTAAGATGCGGTATGACATTGTCAATTTTAAAAGATGAGGTATGAAACTGTCGTGACCCCAATAGTTGAGGTAGTTTTTTGTACTTTACCCTTTTTTTTTTAATTTTACTTTTATTTATTATTTTAATATTTAAAAAATATTAAATATTGTTTTTAGTTTTTAATAATTTTTTATTAATTTTTTAATAGAAAGTGGTTCCTGTCTCTTGCCACGTCAGCATTTAACAGAAAAACTAACAGAAAAATTGACAGAGGTATGACATTGTCACAAATTTGTAAGATGCGGTATGACATTGTCAATTTTAAAAGATGAGGTATGAAATTTTCGTGACGCCAATAGTTGAGGTAGTTTTTTGTACTTTACCCAAAAAAATAATACACTCAATAAAGTGACCACAATCACAATCAGTTCTAATATAATCAAAATGGTAAGCCTTTTTCTCCATATGGGTTGAAGCCACAAAATAGGTCTATCATAACAATTTAGGGTTGAATTCGTCATAAGCGACAATTGAACTTAAAATCTCTCACTTATAAATAGGAAAAAAAAATCATTATAGCATAATACTAAGTGACAGGTTCACAGGAAAATGGATAATAGTTGAAATTACCATAATTAAGTTATGAGAAAAATGAAGAGGAGTTCAAACTCAAACATGGACTTTAAATTTTATGTTGTACACATATGTGGGTTAAGTTGTTTGGCTAGTTACAATTTAGTTTCTTTTGTGAAAAATGAACAAAAAAAACTTCTACGTTTGACAAAACAAAAGATCGAAAACATTGACACGAAGTAAAAGTTTAAGCAACTCAACATTTGAAAAATAAAAATAAAATAAAAAAACAAAAAAATAAAAACCAAAGGTCCAAAACAGAAGGGAAAATGCCTAAAAGGAGGCCAGCACTTTAGGGTAGGATGATATAAACGGAGGGGCTGGTCCATTGGTTCAGTGTGTGGTGTTTTCTTGGCTTACAGGCTTTTACTGCTACTACTACCACTGCGACTCATAAATTTCTTCCTTCACTCGTAATCATAGCCTGGATCTAATGGAGTCGTTAGTTTCCCAACTCTAGCTGAGAATTTCATAATTCAATTTAAGATCGAGTCAAGAAGAAATTACGGTTCTAGCTTTTAGCTCACAATAAAGCTATTCATCATAGGAAATTATTGCATGCAATACAATGTTGTTATAATATTTCTCTAACATGACATCATTTTACTGTATGAAAGTCACAATTAAAATCTTTCATATCCTTTATCATCTAAAAATATTTCCTAGATTTTATTTATTTATTTGTAGACCATTTACATTTAGTCATCCACATGTACCAAAGAAACTTATGGTTTACCATGATAATGTTATTTGTTATCATAAACATCAATATTTTCGACGCACCTAAACAGCTAATTGATCTCCAAGCTGAATGAATTTTTCTAAAAATGATCTTCAAAAAATGTTAAAGAAAATAAAACATAATGAAACGATTATAAACAAAACATGGTGAATGACGGATGTCGAATTTGATCACAATTAAGTTACAAAGCAATTATCATAATAATTGATCACGTAATCAACATGTAAAACTTGAACGAAACTATCATTAAAACCTTGTCTTAAAATGGCAACATATAAGAATTTATGTCATAACAAAAACAATTAGTTAACAGTTTTAGTATAAAATCTCCACAAAGCAGTGAGCATAAGTAGAACTACCAAACATTAGAAATCTCTCAAATTCTCTCTCTACGGCCTCCATGGAGCTTTTGTTAGCAATGTGTTTATTGCTTCTAGTCTGTGCTTTCATCTACCTCTGCGAGTTGGTTCTTCAATGGAGGCACCAACAATGCCACTTGTTGGCCTATGAGTGCTACAAGGCCACGGACGACCGGAAGCTGGACACCGAATCCTGCGTCAAGATTATCCGCCACAACACGAATCTGAGGCTAGAAGAATACAGGTTTCTCCTCAAAACCATCGTTAACTCAGGCCTCGGAGAGGAAACTTACGGTCCAACAAATGTCATCGCTGGCCGCGAGGACTGTCCTAGTTTGAAAGACTCACTGTGGGAGATGGACGACATAATGTTTGGCACGCTCGACAATCTATTCGACAAAGCAGGAATTTCAACTTCGAATATCGATATACTTGTTGTCAACGTGTCGTTGTTCTCTCCCGCGCCTTCTCTGACGGCTAGGATCATAAACCGTTACAAGATGAAGACGGACATCAAGGCGTTCAACCTCACGGGAATGGGGTGCAGTGGAAGCCTCGTGGCCATTGATCTTGTGCAGAACCTGTTCAAAACGTACAAGAATGTAAATGCCGTCGTTGTGAGCACAGAATCGCTTGCTCCAAATTGGTACCGAGGCAAAGTTCAGCCTATGATGCTTGCTAATTGCCTCTATCGCTCGGGAGGGTGTTCTATGATCCTCACAAACAAAAAGCATCTCGAGCATCGATCGCTTTTGAAATTGCAATGCATCGTGCGGACGCATCTTGGCTCGACGGATGAAGGATATGGCTGCTCGACGCAAGTAGAAGACAATAATGGTTTCCGCGGTTTTAATCTCAGCAAAAGCATAGCCAAAGTTGCAGCCAAAGCTCTTACCATGAACCTTCGAATCCTACTGCAAAAAGTGTTACCGCTTACAGAATTACTGCGCTATGTTATCGTGTCACGTCGTCAAAACAAAGTCGGAAATGCTGGCTTGAATCTCAAGGCAGGGCTTGATCACTTCTGCATACCCCCTACTGAAGCCGCAGTTGTCAATGGGGTTGGAAGGAGCTTAGGGCTCAACGACTATGATCTCGAGCCTGTGAGAATGGCGCTACACCGATTTGGAAACACATCTTCGGGAGGGCTTTGGTACGTTTTGGGGTACATGGAGGCTAAGAAGAGGCTTAAAAAGGGTGAGAAAATTCTTATGGTGAGCTTTGGAGCTGGCTATGAGTGCAACAATTGTGTGTGGGAGATTTGGAGGGACATGGAGAATGCCAATGAGTGGAAAGATTGCATAGAAAGTTACCCCCCAGAAACCCTAGTGAATCCTTTCATGGAGAAGTATAGCTGGATCAATGATGAACACTTGAGCTTTGTCAGATTCGAGGAGGTTGTGAATGCAATATGTGTGGATGGTCAACCCTCCAAAAACCCTGGTCAACGCTTTCGGGAGAGGTATAGTTAGATCAATGAGTACTTTTGAAAGTTTTATTTTTATTTTTATTTTTTATGTGTAATTTGTTGTTTTTTTAAGGAAAAATTAGAGCTCATTTGTGAATGTTTTTAAAATTACTAAAAACGTTTTTGATGAAAATGTTTTTAGAACTAATTTTTAGTAAAAACTCAAGTGAATCTTAGAAAAACACTTGAAGTACTTTGTGGAAGAACACATAACTGATGCTTCTTTCAAGAAGCATTTAAGTGCTTTCGGAACTCAAAAATGTTTTCACTAAAAGCATTTTTAGTAATTTTAAATGTATTTCCGAACAAACCATTTTATTGATGTATTTTATGAAATGAGAATTATACTGTATATTGTATTTGAGAACGTAAACGAGCATATAGTGTACAAGTATTCCAAAAAGGAGCTCATAGTGTATTTTTGGGAGATAACAACCAAGTCTGCAACTACCTGGAATTTTCTGGGGGGGCTAGAAGTTCTCTTGTGGCCAACTCCTCAAAGGTTTGTACCCTTTCACAAGTCATATTATGTTGCCCATTTAATTTTAGAACATAAATAAACCATACATAGTCTAGATATTTGGACCATATTTACTAATGTAACTAGTCAATATGCTCAATATTATTCATACATAAGTGGGTCTTGCATACATAGATGTGTCCACTTATATGGTGAGTTGCTCAATAATGTAATCAATAAATATGGTCCAACTTCATTATTTATGCATATATAGACAGCTTTAAAAGAAAGATTCTCAATTTTAGCAAAATATGGTAACTAGTTGTGAGTCTATTATGCATTTTTAGGTTGGAGTCCATAGATCATCTTTGAAAATTAATGATTTAGACATCTAATTGTGATTGAAGAAATCAAAAACAAAAATATGGATTTTTTTTATTTTTTTATTTTTTTGTAACAAAAAGTTTTGGGAGAGATTGGTACTCTTATCACCAGTGACAGGGCAAACCAATAATCTCAAAGCCGAAAGAACTTAAGCGTAGTATTTAACTGCCAGATGTCACTGGTATGAATTTATGTAGAAATTTACAGATCCCGCACCTACAAGAACTGTTGGCAGCAGGGATCGAACTTGGATTGGGAGTTCCACAAGCATGTCCTTACCAACTGAACAAACCCTCGTTGGCAAAAATACTGAAATTTAGTGATAAGAATAAAATAAGTTATAAATAGTATAATATTAAGGTGATTTGTTTTTTCAAAGTTAGGCTCAATTTGGTATTGCATTTTTTCACCAAAAGCTGCTTCACTTCAAACTTAAGTGCTAGATGTTACTGGTATGAATTTATATAGAAATTTACAGATCACGCACCGACAAGAACTGCTGGCAGCAGGAATCGAACTTGGATTGGGAGTTCCACAAGCACGTCCATACCAACTAAACCAACCCTCGTTGGCAAAAATACTAAAATTTAGTGATAAGAATAAAACAAGTTATAAATAGTATAATATTAAGGTGATTTTTTTTTTTTTCAAAGTTAGGCTCAATTTGGTATTGCATTTTTTCACCAAAAGCTGCTTCACTTTAAAGTTAAGTAATAAAAAATTGTTAAAAATAAATATACTACTTATTTTAAAAGCAATGATTTTCAGACAACAGCTTTTAAAAGCAGTCTGTAGCTTGCTTTTAAAAGCTACTTTAATAAAAAAACCGAGTGGAGTCTTTAATGAATATTTCAATTTTTGTAATACATTAACCTCTTACACCACCATTGCCATTACCACCACCATTGTTACCACGATGACACCACCATAACACCACAATCGCACAACCACCACCACAATCATACCCGCCACTACAACTGCCACTATCATCATTGCTGCACCACCGCAATCATCATAAACACAACTGCCACCACAACCACCACCAGCATTGTTGTCGCCTCCTCTACCACCATTGTTACATCTGCAGCCCAACCACCACACTTCTTTATTGGCACCATCACCACCACCATCACAACCACTGACCTCACCATCGGTGTTGTCGTCATCCTTCACACTATCATGTCCATTTTTTGTTATTATATACAATTAGATCACTTTTACATTAAAATTTATCACTCATTTACATTGTTTTTCAAACCCACAACACTTTTAAAATACAATTCATCAAACGCTCAATTGCTTTATTTTACAGCTAGTTATTCTTAAAGTACAGCAAAAACAGTTTTTACATAAAGCACAGCAATCCTTAAGGCCTTTAATTAGACATAAAAATAGATAATCAGGATGGCTATAAAACAATGTAGAGTGGGCCTCACGAATCAATCCCGGGTTAAAATCACACATTGCAAAAACCTATGAAAATTAGTACAAGCTGGGTGATTAAAATGTTCCCTTCCACATTTAGAATGGAGAGGACAAGAGGAAGATGGTTGGTTTGAAATTTACCTCTTCTAGGTCAACCCATGCTAAGTGGCTGCCACTTGAACCAATGCAACTAATATTTATTTTTATAATACATTATATTTACACTTAAGAAGCGAGGAGAATTAGTAAGTTACACAATAAGTCATTCATAATAATTTATTTTGAATTCATTTTCGACAAAAATCAATCTAACACTTCTTCTTTACAATTAAAGAAATTTATCATTAGATTATAATACTAAATGGCTGCTGAAAAATTATAATTAAAATAAATTTACATTTTTAAAACTTTTTAAAGTGAATTCTACCAGTCAAAAAGAGAAAAATAAATAAATTCACAAATTTACATATTTTCATTATAAAGTAATGGTATTACTCACTTTACGTCTCTGAAAAATATGTTTTTAGACAATTTCTAAAGAAGATGTCAAATTTTAAACCTGAAATTTAAATTTGACAGCTTATATGACACTTTGATATTGAAAAGCTACTCATATTTACTGCCTTTGCATTGGTCACGAAAGGTAATGAATTAAAAAGTATAAAAATATTTAAACATTGCATCAATCATAAAAAGAAATTAAAAGGCAATGCTTTAAACCATAAAAAGTTAATAAAAGTATTTAATAATTAATTAGAAAAATTGGAAGCTTGATAGCAAGGGAAAGAGATACCACTTCATGTCATGCCACATCAAATTTGGCTTCTTAGTTAATAAATATTGTTGTTGTCTTTTTTTATCATTTTGTTGATTTCGACATTTTGACATATCATTTAGAAATACTTTTAAGTCGAATTAAAATAGGATCATGAAAAGGAAATTAATCAAATTACTTTTCCACCACCGACAGTATCATTGTGTTTGTATATTTCTTCTTTCTCTTGTTCATTAATAACTTCAACCACTTGAAGGGTGCATTTATCATGATTCGTCAGAACACGTTATCTGCTTATAAATATTTTTTGCTCAACACCATTTAGTGTGACGTATTCTCACCATCATATTTATTATCATTAGATGAGTTTGAATTTCAAGATTCCTATAATGGATAAGCACAAATCTTAAAATTCAAACTCATATAATGGTAATAAATTAGATGATGAATATACAGCATACTAAATGATGATGAACAAAAATGCACTCAATAAATAACACAACTTGCCCTCTATCTCTTCTATTTCATAAGCCCAACTGAAAGTAGGTTAACCCATTAACGCAGATTGGAAGAGATAAAGTCTCCTAACCTAAATTTCATTAAGACAGAGAGAAAAATGATGGAAAGTTTCACACCAAATCCGAGCAAACTAAAATATAATATATAATGAATGATTTTACTACTAACTGTAAGAATGCCACAGAATCGATCAACATGATATGAAGGTTTCAATTAAAACGACTACACATCAAACATATCTCGACAAGCATCATGCAGTTAAAGAGCCTTACCTGTTGGCATGGCCATTCTGAATGTAAACTAAAGTAGACTTCTACTTCCAGTACCCTTGATAATCTCTACTAACGAAATAGGGTTGTAGTATTGGTGAGAATCGACTGGTATGGAAGCGGGGACTGCTATGTTTTAAGTTTTATAGCTAGGTTTCTATCCAATATGACCTATTATTGGAAAGGATATCAACCCACACTCTATTAAATCAATTAATTAGAGTCCCATCATGATTCTAAATCTTTGTATTTACTTGATAAGGGTCCTTATTGATTGCATATAATTAAGACTCCATAATTTTTGCTTTATTAGGGCACCAAGTATCCTTGAGAGTCCAATGACTTGTAAGCCGAGTCACTTAACCTTCCAAGTAATCTCGGTATACAACCGATTGTCTTTCATATTAGGATTTTCACTAACTGCATCGGGACATTTCATGTAAAACCCTACACATGTTGGCCTGTAAGGGCATCTCCAACCGAAGGGTCCAGATGGTCGAAAATAATCCTAAAACCGTCTCCAACCAAGGGCTAGGCCAGAGGGCTGTGGAATATGAGAGGGCCCCACAGAATCGAAGAGGGCTGGAGGGCTAAAGGGTACCAGCCAGCGGGGGGCTGCCCAGAAAAATCATTTTTTCTGTAGGTTATAACTGACATGAATACGTTTATATTATTTAATATAAATGTATTCTTGTCGGTTATAACCGATAGGAATACTTAAGAAAAAAAATTCAAATGCAACGGCTAGCTAACGTCAGCTAGCCGTTGCATTTGATTTTTTTTTTTTTTTTTACAAAATTTTTCCTATAACTTATATTTTTCATATTTTTTTTAATTCTATTTTTTTTCCTATAACTTTTATTTTACAAAATTTGTTTCATATATTTTTTTTAAATTCCAATTTTTCCTATAACTTCTATTTCACAAAATTTGTTTTATTTTATTTTAAATTCTATTTTTCTCCTATAACTTCTATTTCACAAAATTTGTTTCATATTTTTTTTTAAATTATATTTTTTTTCCTATAACTTTCTAAGCCATTATACAAAATTAAATTAAATTAAATTAAGTAAAATGAAACAACATTAAACAATATGAAACAAAATTAAATAACATTAACCAACGTACAAATTATACAACATAAAAAAAAAAAATTTAACAAAATGAAACTTAAACAACATTTTTAAAAACATTTAACAACATAAAACTTAAACGTCTACTCCATGCTTCTTTTGGCTCAAAGATGTGCAACAAGATCCTGTTGTACGTACTTGTTTGTGGCATGAAAACGTATCATTCTATAACACCTCATGTACTCATTTATAGAGATACTATCAGTTCTTGAATTGAAAGGTAAATTAGGTCCATCATATATTTTTGCACGAGCCTTTCTTGACCTATTTGGATCTTCTTGGTCATCATCGGACTCTTCATCAATATACCCATCTCATTCATCCTCCACTATCATATTGTTGTAGTTTTTAAATTCAAGTTAATGTTGTTTTTAAATTTTATTTGTAGTTTTTAAATTTAATTCGTCATTTTTAAATTTAAGTTGTAGTTTTTAAATTTAAATAATAAATTATGTTTGGCCATTTGGCACTCGGTTGGAGACGGTTTTTTGTGACAGGGCTAAAACGAGCCCCATGGCCCTTTGGCCATTGGTTTGAGACGGAGGCAAATACGACCATGTACTGTTCAATAAAATATTAATATCTTGGAGATGGCCTAAGTACCTCATGAAACTTAATGTCGTCTATCCAATTCATTGTTTTTTTTTTTTTTAATTTTATTTTTATGAGATCGTGAGTCATGACAGAAGACTGGAAACTTAACATTTTATATATTTCGGGAAAATGCGGCCTCAAGATTTGAGTGTGAACAACTCCAATTCCAAATCCCATATTATCTGCAGTTAATTTCTAACTAGCTCCATTTATCTTTCCCCATTATATTGTACAGTTTTTACTATATTACGGCCATCTCCAACTGAAAGGTTCAGAGGGCCGAAAATCATCTCCAACCGAGGGCTAGGCTAGAGGGCTCGTGGGCCCCATAAAATCTGAAAGGGCCAAAAGGCCAAAGGGCTAGCCACATGCAGCCAGCCCCGGGTTGGTTGGAAATTTTTGAAGTAGTGTCGGTTATAACCGACAAAAATAAGGGAAATGGTGTCGGTTATAACCGACACAAATAGCTAGAAAATTTTGAATATAAGGGCTAGCTGACGTCAGCTAGCCATTATTTTTGAATTTTTTTTTTTAAATTGTTTATTTATTTATTTTTAAATTCTATTTGTTTCCTATAACTTCCTAAGTCATTATACAACATTAAATTAAATTAAGTAACATGAAACAACATTAAATTTAAATAATAAATTATGTTTGGCCTTATGGCCCTTTGACCCTCAGTTGGAAACAGTTTTTTGTGACAGGGCTAAAACGAGCCCTATGGCCCTTTGGCCCTCAGTTGGAGATGGAAACAAATATGATCTTGTACTGTTCATTAAAATATTAATTTCTTGAAAGACCAGAGAACTAAAACGAATCTTCTGGCCCTCGGTTGAAGATGATCTCAGTTTCTGTTTTTATGCCTGGGAATGATTAAAGGACTCTTTGACGACTTCTGGGGAGTTGGGCCCCCACCAAAGAAAAAGGACTTTGTCGGCTGCCAAGTTACAAAACCAGGTACCAATTATAAAGAGATTACGATCACCTAGAATTTCAGATGCATTTTTAAATACATATATATGGATGAGAATAAATCCTACATTAATGAATGAGAGATATTATATTTGCTTATAAGGAGTTCCACTACTTTCCATATTGTCAATTGATTTTATGGTGGAATCTCAACTTTCTTTATGATATCAAAGTAGCTATACGAGACCTTGCATTTACGGTAGAACCTCAACTTTCTTCGGAATTAATCTATGTATAATTAGTAAAAGCCAGGTAGTAATTAATTAACCTCCCTTGCTTGTGGGTAGTTTGCATATATTATGTATGCATTACTTGAGCACTGAACATTATGTGCAAATTTCCAACCGATATATATATCTTCATTAATGGGTTCAAAAACACAGATTGCTTTGCTTTTGAACAATTAGGCGTGCGCCTAATTAACAACCGACGAGATGATGTGTGCATATACTGCACATGACTTGTGGTTTTAATCAAAGAATTTTGTATTGATCACACATAAGCCAACAAACTGTTGTGCACGTTTAAGCGGACTAAATCTGTGATTTCCTTTAAGATTCTATTCTTCAACAATCTGTTCCAGCACCATTTAGGTTCCAACACAGATTGCTAAGGCGCAATTTTAATTATGAAGTCTTATCTCATCAAAAGGTCCCGATACATTTTACAGTGTTGAACAACACAACTTACTCTTTATTTCATAAATAATTTGTTCTACCTTTCTAATTAAGGTGGGAAATTGAATTCATCCACTTCCATGGCTTGTATCGAGCCACAAAAACACCAATCATAACAAATACTTCAAAAACAAAAAATCAGAATAATGTTCTAGAAACTTACAAAGCAATATAATTGAAGACATAGTACCATAGATGGCCAGGTGTAGATATGAAGTATCATAACTCCCTCTAAAAAAAGTTGACTATTCTGGGAAACTTGGACCGTTCATGCAGCCTACTGACTATCTACATTTGTAGGTAAAAAGTAAATTCTTAACATTAATGTTCAAGAGTTTCAGTATTTCATCACCATCAATCTATACTAAAGGGATGGCTGCAAAGTTACGTGTATATTAAGAGAAATATTGTTCAAGTTCTGCATTCATTGAACAATTCACAATTCACAGTTCAAAACCCTAGGGCCATGGAGATCCTCATGACAATGTCTCTACTCGTTCTTTTCGGTTTCTTCTCCTTCTTGAAGTTGGTTTTCCGAAGGAGAGACCAGTGCTGTTTTCTGCTGGATTATGAGTGCTACAAGGCGAAAGAAGACATGAAGATCAACAGCGATTCCTGCGCGAAGATCGTCTTGCGGAACAAGAATCTAGGGTTGGAGGAGTTAAGGTTTCTCTTGAAAACCATTGTCAATTCCGGCATTGGAGAAGAAACTTCCTGCCCAAGAAACATAATTGAAGGCCGAGAAGAAAATCCAACCGGGGCAGACGAGCTTAATGAAATGGATGGCATCATTTTCGACACACTTGACAAGCTTTTCGCAAGGAATGCTGCAATTCCTCCTTCACAAATCGACATCCTTGTTGTCAATGTGTCGATGTTCTCCCCCGCACCCTCACTAACGTCGCGCATAATAAACCGGTACAAGATGAGGGAGGACATCAAAAGCTTCAACCTCTCGGGAATGGGCTGCAGCGCAAGCCTTGTTGCCATTGATGTTGTGCAGAACTTGTTCAAGTCGTATAAGAACGCAAATGCGGTCGTTGTCAGCACAGAATCCTTAGCTCCAAACTGGTATTGCGGCAAAGAAAAATCCATGATGCTTACGAACTGTCTGTTCCGCTCGGGAGGGTGTTCGATGCTGTTCACAAACAACAGAAACCTACAGCACCAAGCCAAGTTGAAGTTACAGCATTTGGTACGTACCCATATTGGCTCGAACACTGAAGCGTATGAATGCTGCATACAGCTAGAAGATGAGAGTGGATACCAAGGGTTTCGCCTCACCAAACACCTCACGAAAGCAGCAGCTATGGCTTTAACGATGAACCTCCAAGACCTAGTCCCAAAAGTGCTTCCACTGAGAGAATTATTTCTCTACCTGGTGGCCTCTAGGGTTCGGAATAGAACTGGTACTAAAAGCCAAAAGCTAGAAGCAGTTGGTATGGGGTTAAATCTCAAGGCAGGAATAGAGCATTTCTGCATTCACCCTGGTGGAAGAGCAATCATAGATGGGATTGGGAAGAGCTTAGGTCTAACTGATTATGATCTTGAGCCGTCTAGATTGACACTTCACCGGTTTGGCAACACGTCAACAGCCGGATTTTGGTACGCTTTGGGATACATGGAGGCAAAGAAGAGGCTTAAGAAGGGCAACAAAATTCTGATGAGTGGATTTGGAGCAGGTTTTAAGTGCAACAACACTGTGTGGGAAGTATTGAAGGACTTGGATGATGCCAATGTTTGGAAAGACTGCATAGAAAGTTACCCTCCTAATAATACTCTGGGCAATCCCTACATGGAGAAGTATAGTTGGCTCAATGACGAATATCTAAGCTTTGTTAGGCTCGATTTCTCCCAAATTTTCGCTTAAACTTGCTTTTTCCCAGTTAATTTTCGTCATTTTCTTTATTTGTATGCTGCATGGTGTGTGATTTTGGTTAATGTTTGTGAGCTGCTTGAAGGGTTTGTATAATTTCTTCAACATAATAGTACAATCATTGTGTTTGAAAACTTGTGCTATCTATATTGAAGCTTCAACATAATAGTACAAAGTGATTCGGGTAAGATTCATCTAATGAATGGTCAAGCTATATTCTGACCTCCATGTTTAATTCTATGAATCGTAGTCAGATCTTGGGTGATTTTGACTTGCCTAATAAATTCTGAAATTGAACTGCTAGTCTGCTACAAGTCTCTAAAGTAAAAGCCTGAAAAGCATGGGAAAATTTATCTGAATTTTTACTGTACACACGTCGCAAACAGAATTGTTAATGATTTTTAACATTGTTAAACATTTAAAGATTATTTTTTGCAAAAACATATCAAATCGTGTATGGTAAAAATTCGTTAATCGCAATCGAATAAACAATGAGGTATAAGTGCTGAAACGCTTAAACTGAGTATGGTTCTTAAACTTTTACATGTATGTGTGTGTATACCAAAAGAATGGCAAGAAAAAAGGTAACTTTTGAGGTGAAATTACATTTACTATATCTTTATTTAGGGGCACATTTCCATACCTTCTCAATGTCTCTTTTGTGTTACAGATCTGTGTAGCCTTGAAAGAATAGCTTCTGAGGTTCACATTCAATATCTATGCACCTCGTTTAGAAATGGAAATTGGCTGATATTTATGTGAAACATGTTACATTGCCATTACCTAAAAGAGAAAATTGAGGAAGTGGTCAAGAACTTGCAATTTAAATTTACAAATATCTTGCAGCACTTTTTCTGCATAACCATTGATCCAAGATAATTAAGGTTTTATTATAAAATTAATTAGTAATATTGAGAGTAGTTTAATTACTTATAAGAATGTGAGAAATCATTTTTCTTATTAATGTGTGATTTATTATCAACAAACTCTCTTACTTGTGGCGAATTTTTAAGCCTAACGCGTGAACAACACAAATTGGATGACGTTGAGCATGTATGACTGTTGAGCTTCACACATGAAACAACTTAATCTGATACCATGAAGTAAATTGAGATTCCATCATAAAACCAATGATTAGAAAATATTCCAACTACAAAGTCTATTTTCTTGTAAGCTAGAAATTCATTTTCAACGTAATAATAGAACTGACACATTTCAGAAACATAATAAATTTCTCCTGCCAATGGTGCTCTGCCATGCGTCGTCTAAGTCAAAAGTTGGTACTTTCCTTACCATCAAAGTAATAAATTGGAAAATAAAAGAGAGGCATGTTGTCTGTCCTTCATGTTCTTTCTATTTATTTTTATTTATGCGGTTATAGTTAAGTTACGTTAATATTTTATATTTTTATTATTTTTATTTTATTATTTTTATATAAAAAATAATATAAAATATTAACATAACTTAATCGTAATTGTATAAAATAAAAAGAAATGAAAAGAGCATCCAAACAGAAGATGGCAGACAATCTCCTTCCAAATAAGAGAGTCACAAAACCATAAATGCCAAGGCAGCATAGCCTGTGGCAGAACTCTGTGTTGCAGTAATGTCTACTTTTATCTTCATCAACCAAATTTTTAGAAAATAGTGATAAAATTAGGCGGTTAAACTTCCATTTTAACAGTTGAACTTTTGACCAAACAAACACTTAAAACTACTTCCACCGCATCTTCAATATAAGCATGGCAGAGACAATATCAAACTCTGGTTGCCAAATGCACATTGAACATCTTCCAAGCAAATGTCTCACCCAGGAAGCTTTAGAACTAGAAACAATGTGTAAAATCATTTGTAAAAGTCCACTTTTCAAAGAAAACTAATTGTATCTTCTTGGGTTCAAAATGAGAACTGATTTCATATTAGTTTTGAGATGACGATTTCGAATACGACACGTTACACGACTTGAAGCCTGTATGAATATAAAACTCGTTGTGTACACGATTAAAATTGTTAAAGTAATATTATATTTAGTAAAATGATGACTTTTCTCTCTTTTTATTTTTTTATGAATGTATTGACACAATCTTAGAGTTTTGGTCATTGGGTTGGGCTACAACATTTCCCATTATCTATTCTACAATTGAGAGTGAATTGACTGTAGCTTAGCTACCGTTACAGGTTTGACCCTTGATTTTGCTTTATTTACAGCACTACCGTCAAATTAAGGCCAGGTTGGGGTTTGGGCCGGTCACATTTTGTGTGGTGGGCTTAGTTCATTTCTTGATATAAGCCCAGCCCTTAGGGAGTGAAAATGATGAGGCTGCCCCATCAAGGATTAAAATCTGACGGTCAAGATGGTAAGTTGGTAAGGACAATTTTGTCCTATGGCTTTGGGACGGGTTGGGTGGTTGATGTGTTATTCGGGGGCGGCAGATTGTCTGCCCTCCTCCTGTTTGGGTATCTTTCTTATCCCTTTCTATTTTGTGCGGTCACGATTAAATCACGTCAACATTTTATATTAATTTTTTTTATAGAGATAATAAGATAAAATGTAATAGGAATATAAAATATTGACGCGACTTAACCGTGACCACACAAATGAGAGAGGATGGGAAGGGCGAACAGGAGGTAGACAATCTGGCTCCCATTCGGGGAGGGTTTGGGGGATGGGTGTTTGAAAGAGAGAGACCGAGAGAGGGAGGGAAATGGATGAGTGGGGGAGAGAGAGTTGATTGCGGGATTAACGGATTGAGGGATTTTTCTGCTTTTCGAAACTTTACAATTTGGGTAAAATACAAAAAACTACCTCAAGTGTCACGACACTTTCATACCTCATCTTTTAAAATTGATAGTGTCATACCTCATCTTACGAATTTGTGTCAATGTTATACCTTCCGTTAGCCTGCAGTTAATTTGTCAGTTAAATGCTGACGTGACTTGTTCCAGACCCCACTTTCTATTAAAAAATTAATTTTTTTTTAAAAAACTAAAAAAAAATCATTTAATATTTTTAAATATTAAAATAATAAAGAAAAGTTAAAAAACAAAACAAAAACAAAAATAAAAATCTTTCATCCCTTCTACCTCCGCCCTTCTCTCTCTCTCCTCATCTTCATCTTCTTCCCTACTTACTCTTCAACCAAAAAAAAAAAAAAAAAAAAAAAAAAAATTGAAAACCCATCAACCCCCCCCCCCCTCCCCCCCCGGGAAGAAGAAGAAGAAAAAAAAAAAACCCCAACCCAATTCGTCCCCCCTCCCCCCAAAACAAATCCAACCCCCTGCAACCCAGAAACAAAAAGAAGGAGTAAGAAGAAGAAGAAGAAAAAGAAGAAAAAAACCCAGATCCCGTTCGCCAAGCCGATTCCGCGAGGGGTGGGTGCGAGGTTGGGTGAGTGCAAGGGTGGGTGCAGAGGGTGGATGCGAGGGGAAGACGAATTGGGATTTTGTTTTTTTTTTTTTTTTGGGTTGCAGGTAGGGGCTCGGGTGGGGGGGGGAGAAGAGAGAAGGACGCGGGGGGGGGGGGAGGGGGAGGGCGGAAAGGATGAAGTTCTTCTTCTTCTTCTTCTTCTTTTGTTTTTTGGGTTGCAGCAAGTAGATGAGAGAGGGAGGGAGGGAGGCAGAAAGGGGGGAAAGGGACGGAAGGTTTGGTTTTGCTTTTTCTTTTTCCTTTTTTTTTTGTATTTTTGTATTTTTTACTTTTCTTTATCATTTTAATATTTAAAAAATATTAAATGATTTTTTTAATTTTTAATAATTTTTTAATAAAAAATGGGTACTGAATCAAACCACGTCAGCAGTTAATTGAGAAATTCACGCCAAGCTAACGGAAGGTAAAACATTGTCACAATTTTGTAAGATAAGGTATGACATTGTCAATTTTAAAAGATGAAGTATGAAAATGTCGTGACTCCAATAATTGCGATAATTTTTTACACTTTACCCTCACAATTTTTTATGTCAATCGATCCCGTCTTCTTCACTTTACCTTTTGGTTTTGTCCCTCACAAATCTCTGCTTCTGTCCGTCTTCATTCCGCTCTCTTCCTCTCAAATCATGTGTTCTTTTTTTCTTTTTTTTTTCCTAAAACAATAGTCACGAGCAAATCAGGTTTTGGTTTATTTAGAGATTCTGTTTCCAGTCTCCATTTGGTGCCTTGCTCAGATCGGCTCTGCACTCATCATCGACGCCTCCACCTTCACGAAGGACTCCGCAAATCCCAAGACCAATAAAGGTAAAGCACGTCCACCTCTCCCTTTCATTCGTTTTCATGGCCCAATGTCAAATGAAGCGACCCTGATTCATGCATGTGTGTATGGTGTATTTTGTAAAGGGGCTTCTCAATCTGTTATGTGTTTGAGTAATTAGTTGCCATTTGAAACTACTTTTCAGATGACTTTTAGCCTCCAAATTAAGTTTATACAATTGCGAGTGCGCAGCGCTTATTAAAGAAATTTACTAAATCCGGTATGAAACGTGAAAAGAGGTACATAGTCTCTGACTTCGTTTGTTGGTTTAAGTCGTTTACTGTGCATTCCATATTAGTTCCATTTAAATTATATCAATTACAGATCATATGGGCAGAGGTTTCCTAAGTTGGTAAATGGTTTTACCAAATCTCCTTACTTATAGGTAATAAGCCATTTATTATTGTTATTGGATTTGATTTCATTCCAATGAGTTGCACATGTACATTTTGGATTGGATTCCCTTGCTTTGTAGACATTATTAAGACCCATGAGGAATTTCATGGTCTTTTGGCTTTGCTGAAACTGCAACACTTCCTTCACAGTCATACATGTACAGTTTGGAATAGAGCACAATGCATCGCGCTCATCCCTGAGACCTTTCAACTTGGTATAGTAAGCACCAATATTCATATTGCCCTGAATGTTGTTGAATTGTAAGCCTATAGCTGATTAGGAAGTAAGTTGTGTATCAATTTATGTATTCACTTAAGTTTAAAGTACCAACTGTGCAACTCTAACGTCAGGTGTAATAATCCTAGCAACTAACTAGATGTAAGGCTGAGATTGTTTTGTGAAGAGAGAGAATCCACTTTGGATTCTAACGGTTATGTAAAGCACAGAGTGCGTGAGAATTGTATAGTGTGATGAAATGAATATGCTCTGCTAGATTTTGCAGAGAGTGAGAACCCTTCTGAAAATTCTTCCATTGTTATCCTTCTCATTTTTTGTTCTTCGATTGTTCATCCATAACCAGATTCTCTAGCAAATCACAGCAAATGCAACCATGAATCTCTTGTTCGATATGAAAGAGATGTACGATGTTCACATGTGAAAAGCATTCCTTCAAATCATTCCAAATCTCATGAGCAATGTCGTTGTAGGTCAAACTCGCCCTAATATCTTGGGAAGTCGAGTTAAGAAGCCATGATTTGACAAGATTGTTACAGCGAGTCCACCGTTGAAGTTCTGCGGCGGAAGTGCCCTTCGGCCTTTTGATGGTCCCGTCAATGAAACCTTTATTTTTAGCACTAAGAGCCATGGACATGGCACGACTCTAGGTAGAATAGTTTTCTTCATTTAGTTGTTGAGTAACCAGGATAGCTCCAAGCTGATCGGAGTGGTGAAGGTAGAGGGGATCATTGGGATCGTCATACTTGTTCATCTCAGGCTTGGCCGAGGATTTGGTTACGACGGAATCTTCGAGCGCCATGGATGTCGCCGAGAAGAGATGCAGTTGGTAGGGTTTATTGTTGTGTTGGAACGGCAAAAAGGTTTTGGTTATCAGAGGTCCAGTTGCTCTAGTACCATGTAAAGAATTCAATAATTGTGCATGAATTCATTGATCTCTAATAATTCAATACAGAGGTCTTCATACATATACAATGATCAATTAAGATCCTACAAAATATGCATATACAAGTTGTTCCTTATTTTACACGTCTATATGAAAGGATCAGTCTAGGTGATTGATATCAGATCAATATCATATCATGTTAAATAAGCCTTCATAGGCTTTACTTTCCTCAACGGAGACCATAAACCAGTACTCCGTATCATACCAGCAGCTTAACAAGCCAGATGTCATTTGATAGCTACATGCACCTCAAGCTGCTCTTGCAAATCTGTTTTGTACTTCAATCTGGTACTTGAGAGCCTCGGGCAATGGAAGTTTTTTGTTTTCAGCTGTATATTACCGTTAATTAGTATACAGGTGCTCGTATGAAGAGTAAGGTAGAATATTTATAAAACAAAGTCATTTTGTGAGAAAAGTGCAAAAATAAAAATAGGCCTAATGGTGAAACAATCCAGACTAAGAATGTGTGATCATTAACTAGCTTATGCATTTAACCACAATCTAGTGGCTCAATGGTAAAGAGCGGATTTCAAGGCTTCATTCAAACAAAAAACTGGAGGTCTTGGGTTCGAAATCCGTTGTTGGCGTGGAAGCCAAACTTGTGGTCAAGAGGAGGCTGAAATGCCTCTGTGAGTCTTTTCGACTCCCGGAATGGGTGGATAACTGTAGCTTGCCACCAATTGTCCATCTTTTAAAAGATAAAAAACTAGCTTGTGCATCTTTTGTGAAAGGTTGAACTTTAATCAAATAAAATGTAAAAGAACAAAGGACAATAGCAAGTAAAGTTTCAGGGTGATCTGAAAGACATGGATGGCAACAACAGTATCCAAAGCACCGCTAAAGGAGGGCTATATATACGAAATGCATAAACAGGAATGCAATTTTAATAGCAGTTAAGTACTGGTAAACCAAGCTGCAATTAAAGCAGCGCTGATAAGTACTGGTTTCACATGCCCTTGTTGTGGAAAAATTCTCACAACCAACAAGTGACTAATTTAGCGCTTGAACGTATCTTCGTGTACATACAGCATGGTCAATCCATGACTTCCACGTGTACAAAAATCAAAAGAGTTCATTTTCCATCTACTTCTTTCGGTTACCTGGCATTGTCCCCAATTAGTTAAAGCCCTGGAATGAGATAAGCTATCTGCCATCAGTCCAATGACTTCAGCTAATTAAACAACTCAGTTGTGAAAACGTTGCAAATACATATACCTCATAATGTTAAAATTAGTAATCTGAATCATACAACTACCCAAGGAAAACAAGAATCCATAGTATCCTGTACTTGAAATCTTTTTTATATAAAAAAAAAAAAAAAATGTGTAAAACAATTTTATGTAATTCTCTTTGATACGATAGATTTGGGTACATGTGAAAACTCAAATTCTCTTTGAATTAATCCACGTAAATATAAACAAGGCTTTAATCCAATCGATGTAGACAACCATTACAAGTCTCAATCCTAAACAACCTATGAGATAACAACACTAGGATAGGGACTCTTCTATAATAATTAAACACTTAGAACTAGTGCAATGTTAAATAAAAAATAAAAACACCTTATATACGAAACCATTAGTGTGAACACATAATGTGAATAGAGAAAAATGGTGTGCACTTATCCTTGATTATAAATAGGATAGCAGTTTTGAAGCTATGGAGCAAATAAAACACACGAGAAAGAGAGAAGAGGGAAGAGAGAAAAAAAGAAGAAGAGAGAAGTGACAGTGATCATACCATTTAACATGGCAGCACTACCAAACCAATCTAAGTTGACACCCAACAACAACAATAATGGCGGTAGCAGCAGCAACAACAACAACAACAGCAGCAGCAATGCGGCACAATAACAAGAACAACAAGAACATCAACATCGACAACAAATGGGTTGTCGATGGTTCGAAGGCAACCCTCTCCGAAGACAAGGCAAATCCTGACCCAAGAAGACAAGGCAAACCCTGGCCCTGAAGAAGACAAGGCAAACCTTGACCCTAAATAAGATAAGGCAAACCCTGATCCCGAACATGACAGGGCAAACCCTAACCTCGAAGAAGACAACGCAAAGTTGGACCCTGAAAAAAAAAAAGATCCTTCTACAACCACTGGGTAATGTCTCTGGAAACCCTCACGAGACTTCACTCATCCCATCAAGGTCACCTATGAGTTTAAAAGGCTTGTTGCATGTGCTCAATGCAATCGAGTTCCCTGCGAAAATGACATTAGTTTTCATCACTAGTTTTTCTTATTTTTAGTTTCTAAGTATTTCAATTTCACTGTATTGCGTGTGTGTTAAACCAATAAACACAATTCGTATCAACTCTGTGGTTATGTCCTTTATGTAGTAGCTAGTGTGTTCAATAAAAGTTGTGTTTCTTCAGAGTTCTTGCTTTTAATGACGTACGTATCACTTTAATTCCACATTTCAGTAGCTTTAAGTACTAATTAAACTAATTAAGAAACCAAGAATGACCTAGAAACTTGCTACTCTATTCTAAGTAAGTGAGAAGGGAAGATTGGTACCTTGCATCAACTTAGGATTAGTATTACAGTGCAATCTATTTTCATGCATCTTAAACTAAACAATATGACAGGCTTCAGAAAATTTTGTGAATATAAAAATATAAAACTTCCGGAAATGTGTTCCTAGTTTTCAATTTTCCATAAACTACGTTGTCCAAATTTTTTTTCTTTTCAAATCAAACTAAGGGGTCATAACTCATTAATAACTAACTTGATGAAAATCTTCCTAAGCCAATTTCAAGAACTACCAATAATTTTCAAACAACTTCTCTATTGGGAGATGTATGAGCATCAACAATGGAGAGATTAATTCTAATTTGAGATGCGAAAATCTTATTTACATCACAATATACATTTTTGGAAGATGTAAATATGAGTTGTATTTCGTATTTCCAATTAGAAATATGCAAGTTTGAGATCTCATTTAATTTTGGAAAAATTAGGTTCCCATCCCTATTTTTCCTACTCCATTGATTAAAATCTTATTCCTTTTCAATTTTTGATCAAGGTCCTTAGATTTTAATGAACATCACTAATTATTTCAATAAAAATATATTTTTTATTTCTAAATATATTCATTTAGGGTTAGAAGCATTACATTTGGTATATTTATATTTAGGGAAATTTTATTTGAACCCACCTAACCTCTTTTTACATCCAACTTAAATTTTAAATGTGAAGTTTCTTTTTTACCTTATTGCATAATTACCGTAAAGTACAAGTTAAAATTAACAATAAGACTAAAATTTATCAATAAACCCACACCCTATATTACTATCACATAATCTTTCCCCTACGCTCTATTTTGTCTAAAATCCTAGGATGCTTTCAGATAAATAAGCTATTTTCGATGATTTGTGCAAGTTTTTTTTTTCAATTAATTCTACATTAACTCCATTTGTAAGATTTGACTGTATAAACTCACTAGAGTCTAGACAAATAAAAGTGGAAGACTGGACGATCTTACGAACCCAAACCGCCCCCCCCGGCCCCCCGGTCGGGGTGGCCGTCCCCCTCTTCGTGTCTCTCTCAGCTAGCAAAGTTTATATGCTTTCTTTGGAGTTGTAATAATATTTTTCAGTTATGTCTTCATCCTTTTGAACAAAGCTGGGGATTATGTTGAGAGTGGGAATGTGATAGATTTAGTTTCCAAACCTTTTATATATTGTGATTTGGTCAGTTGTGTTGCTCTTCAATATCTGAACCTTTTATATATTGTGATTTGGTCAGTACTGGCTTCCTATTTTTGTTTGTTATTCTTCTCACTTCCAAAACTTGCCTGGCTGTTGTTTGAAATTTTGGCACGATTAATCCGCCATTCCAAAGGACTCATATAAATTGGATTGATAATGGCGTGTTGTTTCTCTTATATATCTAACTAGTCCAAATTCGGTTTTGGCTTCAAACGATTCAAAACCTAGTCCCCAAGATTGTTTATGCTTGTTATTGTCCACATGGACAGTTTGACGGCTTTAAATTTTGATAAATTTGTGTTTGATGCTAAGAGTGGTGTGTTCTTGCAAAGAGACGGAAGATTGAAGGAAAATATAACGGATATGTTGGAAGGTAAGAACTTCAGAGGAGAGAATGTATGCTTTGCGTTTGATTTTTTATTTTTTGAATGGGTATAAAGATAATTTTACATATTGATTGGGTTTGTGAGGGCAATTTAGGTAGTAAATTTAGGTTTAAAGAGATATTGAGAGTTTAATTAAAAATAATATGGGTGTAGAGAGTAAGTTGGGTGTAAAGAAAGGTTATGTGGGTTTAAATAAAATTTCTCTTATATTTATGGCTAAATTTTTTGTCATATGTTTTTATTTTTAGTTTCTACCCATTTTTAATTTGCAACCCCTTTTTTAGTTTGCAACATGGAAGGAGTACAACCAGACCATTTTGCGTGGAAATCTAACAACAACAACCGGTACGTGCTGTTACAAGATGAAAATATCAAAAAGCGAGAGGGGATTCTCGAATTCACCGCGAGAGGTTTCTGGCCTAATTTTCACATCGGAGAATAAAGACTCTGGATACGTGAATATCAAGCTCTCTGAAACCAACTTATACTTGACAGGGGCGCTGAAGGAAGGAGTGTGGTGGATCGTGGCCACCGCTCACACACCAAACGAAAACATGAATGATGAATATTGCACATTGTTCAAGCCAGAGAAGGTCGGACAAAGTACCTTCCGAATAAGCCATGCGTACACCCAAAGCTATTTAAGGCCATGCGATGTTGCAGGTTTGGAAGCAGTCCTCTGCGCAATCAACTCACGGGCGAACCCTCTAGTGGATCTCTTTACAATCACTAGGAGTTGATGATCATAACTAATAATGTTTGTGGGTAACGTCTCTAGAAAGCCTCACGAGACTTCACTTGTCCCATCAGGATCACCTATGGGTTTAAAAGGCTTGTTGCATGAGCTCAATGCAATGGAGTTCCGTGTGAAAGCAATATTAGTTTCATCACTAGTTTTTCTTAATT